CAGGCAGATGAGCGAGAGGTCGAAGGGAGTGCAGTACCCGCCGTAGTGCCAATAGCCGTAGCCGAAGGGCGTGAGCGGGATGCCGTCCGCGGCAAACTGCGCGACGATGCCCGCCACGATGGCGCACAGCGAGTTCCCAAAGTACATCAGCGAGAAGGTGTCTGACAGCAGCGACGTATCGAAGCCGCGCGCATTGTGCTCGCAGACGAGCCACGACTCAAAGGCGGAGAAGAGGAGCGAGGTGGCAATGCCGCCCGTCACCCTACCCAGCATCAGCGTGTTGTAGTCCCGAGCGTGCTTGGTCACGCAGGACACAATGTACAGGAAGCAGTACGCCATGCAGGAGCGCTTTCTTCCGAGCCTGTCAGAGAGGACACCCGCGAAGGTCCCAAAGACCATCGAGGCGCCGAACCCGCCGATGAAGAGCACGGCGATGTTGTGCTTGGAGAAGCCGTACGAAGAGTACAGCGCGTACACGTAGGGCCCCTGCAGCCAGTCGGCCGTCATCGCGATGTAGTACACGCTCATGAAGCCGCGCTGGAAGCGGCTGAACTCGGCCGACGAGACGGTCTTCTTGCCGGTCTCCTGCCGCGCCCTTACGGCGAGGGCTGCTATGATCATGCAGGAGACGAGCAACCCGCACTCAAAGACGTCCATGTTCACATCCCGCGCCCAGCGGATAGTTGCGGGAGCGAAGAAGGACGGCCGGACTCGGCCGCTGGCCTTGGCAAAATAAAAAAAGGAAGGTCGATCTGCTAGTCTGTGAGAGGTTGGGGTGTTCACAGACCTTGTTATTGATAAGAAATCCTGCGCGCTTCTTCAAAAAGGGACAAAGACAAAGAGAAGGAAAAAAAAGGCTTTGCAAGACAGAAAATGACCAGTACACGCGCAAAGAGGGGGTGGTCCTCGCCCGCCGATTGTGGGGGATACGTGTACAGGCACACACATGCCGATGTGCGATGTGGTATATGTAGAGACTAGAGTATACTGAGTCACAATCTACTGTCACTGTGGGTAGCCGTATAAAGCCGTATACAGCCTTCTCTCCTCGCCGCGCGCGCGCGCGCGCGCGCGCGCTCTCTCTCTTCAGCCTGCCCGTAGGTTCTCTTCCGATCCGATCACTCTCTCCAGTGTGTGTGAAGAGACCTCACCGCTGGGGTCTAGGCACTAGGGACTAGGCATACACCAGGTTACTGTATTTTAGGATTTAGCTTAGCCGTACTTTGCTACGCCGCGCGGCTCTCTAAACGTAAAGCCGAATCTCGACGATTACTAAAATACTAAATACACCAATATAGAGAGAGAAAGAAGTTACACCGGGTCGTGTGGTGGTGTTAGAGTAGGCGCTGTGAGCGGACACGCATAAGGAAGTGGAGAACCCCTTACAACTAACCGTCCCCCCTCCCCGCACCCGCTTCCTCCTTTGCGCTCCCACCCTCCAGATACTCTGGCTTGAGCGACACGCGAGGCCCCTCCCGGCCGCCCAAAGTGACGCTCACGTGCGTGAGCGAGCGTAGTAGTGTCAGCAGGGACGTGTCGTACGATCTGAGTAGCATGCTCAGCGTGCGGTCCGGCTTCTGCTCGCACACCCGAAAGACCAGGTCGGGCTTGCCTCGCTTCTCCTTGGAGCCCTCGAGCGGCCGTGACTTGAAGTAGGAGGGGTGGGCGTAGCCCGCATAGTGCCGGCGGTAGTGCTCCCAAAAGCGCGCAACGGGCACCCCCTCGCTGCCAGCCGCCTGAAGCACGCCCACCAAGAGGCCCCGGAGCCCGGGTGCCTGCTCCTCGGTTGGCTGCACTGGGATGGGTGCGCCGCTGACCGGGTCACGCGATGTCCGCAGCTCCTCGTTGACCCGGAGCTGCAGCTCGCGAGCGGCAAGGTGCGGACGATCCACCTCGGGGCGGCCCCTGTGCGGCGACGCCTTGGACGCACGGGCGAGACGAGCCGCTCGTGCGAGCGGGCGCATATACACACACACACACACACAGTACTAGGGAATAAGAGGAATTGCTTGCGCGGAGAAAACAAAGGACATGAAGTGGTAGACGCCCGAGGGTGGGCGACGGCTAACACCACACTTCTCCCCTAAAATCCCTGTGTGGTGGCGGCGTACCGTCCTCCCATCCCTCCCTTGGGTTGCCTGTTTTCTTTCTTCTGAGAGGGCCGTAACGCGACACCGATCATCCGGCCGGCTGGGTGCGCTTCTCAGCTCCCTGGCCCTGGATGTGAGGTACACATCCCTCCCTTGGGTCGTGTGTGTTTTCTTTCTTTCACTTTCTTACACACAGGTTAGAAAAAGAATTTCATCCCCCCGCCAGCAGTGTCCCCCACGCCCAGTGGACTTCCCTCTCTCTCTCTCTCTCTCCTCTGACCTCCCTCCTCCCTCTTCAGAAAGCTGAATGTTTTCAAAAAAACGGTTATACGTTAGCGCGTCACGGCCCCCGGCGCACCGCCGTGCCCGTGGCGACGTGGCGGCCCCACACGGCCGTTCGAGGCCGAAGGACGGCGATCGAGGCCGAAAGCGAAGGCACACCACACGATGTGGCGAGCAGGCGCCGGGCCAGCGGCTCTTGCGACCGACACACCGACAGACACCGACAGACGACAGAGCCACGCCCGGAGCGGACACGAGCGGAACACGGCGAGGAAAAGCGAGACTCACTGGCCCCCCCTCTCCTCCTCCGAATCGGTGGCCTCGAGATGCGACTCGTCCTGCCGCTGCCGCTTGGCGGGCGGGAGAACGGAACCGTCTCCTGCAAGCGCCGACGCCGGCCCCCCGGGCTCGCCGTCAGTGACGGATTCCGCGTTGGTGATGGACTCCTCGGTCAGATCTCCAAACGCCGTCTCAGAGGCCTCGCTCACGCCCTCCGCCGCCGTCTCGCTCGCGCTCCCATCCGCCGCCTCCTCCCCCTCGACGGATTCCGCCGCCCCGGCCGCCCCGGCCGCCCCTGCCTCGGCAGGCACGCCCGCCGCCGAAGAGAGCGAGCCCACCAAGCCCGCCATGTCGCCAAACATGCCGCCGCCGCCGCCGCCGCCGCCGCCCCCCTCGTCCGCGTCGTCCGTCGCCACCGGGCAGCAGGGCAGCAGCTCGCCTGGAAGCTCACTCATCGGGCGCGCGTCCTGCAGGCCCTGCGGCGGGAACCTACTCAGCAGCTCAGACCCCTCGGGACACGCGGCGGGTAAGCACCGGGGCGGCGGGCGGGCGGGCGCGCACTCGAAGGTGGGGCCAAAGTTGAAGGTTGCGACGGCCGCCTTGTACAGCGAGGCGGCCGGGTAGTACACCTCGGCCCACACCTTGCATGCCGCGGGACTCGTGAGCTCTGGCCCCGCCCCCTCCCCGCCCCTCCCCGCGCCCCGCGTGCGCCTCCGAGTAGGCCACACCTTGCGGGACGCCGTTCTTGAAGAAGGAGATGCTCGAGCCCGCCGAAGGCACGCGCGTCCGCTCCTCCTCGACGATGAACTCCTAATTATTAAATAGAGCTAGTTATAACTAAAACTATAGCTCCTCCTCGACGATGAACTCCTGCCCCGCGCAGGAGCGGCGCCCGCTCGGCACCCCG